ATTGACCTTCACATTATAACGCCCCACGGCTGAAAGGGCGAGTATGTTTGGTGTGACGGGGATTCGAACCCGCGACCCTCAGATTGCGAGTCGAGCGCCCTTACCACCTTGCTATGCCGGGCAGCATGTTACAAAAAGTTGTCTTACAGATTTAAAATATACGTTATTTTATGTTATTTTAAAACGTATATACCGATGTTTTACGAAATACATCATGTTTGGCTATAGACACGCGAGTTAGTTTAACTGCCACTTTAAAAAAATGTTTTTGTAAGTGAAAGAAAAAATATTTATAAGAGAAATTAATGTCGTTAATATTAACCATATTTGGGAACTACTCCTATCAATTTAAGAATTTTAAAGACATAAATAGACTTTTTTTTTGGCCAAATCTTATAAGAATTTAAGCTATATCTGTTAAATTTCATGTGTAGGAAAAATAATATAAAAAGTAATGCTTTTTGTTTAGCTTTATGATAACTGAAATTCATGTTAAAAAATGAGCTCAGAAAGACAAGTACAATATTATAAGCTGTTTTGTAAAAATATATTTGTCGCATTATTGTTGTTTTTAATTTGTTTTAATTGATTTGATTAGGTAATATTGAATAACTTGGATAATAATACATATTAATTTTTTTCACAAATTATTACTACAAGTGTCCGTAAAGTATACGTTTATAAAAAAAGTGGAATAGCTCTATCTATTCACTTTGGGAACTAATCTGACATTATACCAATTTTTAAATAATTAGGTTATAGCTTGCGTTTTGTTTCAGGTATAACTATAAAATAATTAGCCGAATTGTATAACATTATACAATGTTTTATTTTCCTTTTGTTAATAGAATGGATATCGGTTAACTTTAAACGGAAGCGTATATATATTATGTTTCAAGTTTTAATTTTTTTTAGTAAAGTGACATGTTACGCAGGCCAATTAAGCCATGGTTGTTAGTATTACATCAGTCTCTTTACCTTCAAGATACCATTTCGCCACATTGGCTGTATATTAGGGATCCTTGTCTTGTTGGAAGATGAGTTCCTGCCTGGGCAATTTTGTTCCTGTAAGAATAGCATTATGGAATCAGAATAAATTCGTACTGGTCAGTAGTCAGGATGCTATCAGATTACTAACATACTTGGCTGAGATGCAGCCCCAAACTTATACTGATCACCAATCACGCTTCGCAATGACTGTCGTTGATTGTTGATGACTTGAAAAAAGCACACGTCGCCAGTTTTGTGTGTGTGTGTGATCCAATGTCCATTTCAACTTTTTAGTTTGGTCACCTACTTGCAATAGTAGTGTTAGAGCAAGCTACACGTCCATTGAGACCACTTTATGCTAATGTGTATCTTAATGTTCTGGAGGTAACACTCAAACACCTATATTTATATCAAGGCC